ATATACTGAGATAATATTCGGGTCTCTCGCTCACAAACCATAGATAAATTGAGATAGATATTTAGATAAATTATTTCGTATTGTCACACGAAAATATCACTTACGAAGGTGCTCTGTCATTCGACATAACTGCTGTTCACTTTATTTAAATGCAGTTTTGAAGGTTATTTTTAAAAATTCTTTCTGGACGTTTGGATTGTAATCACGATCAAAGCGACATGAGTAGTTGTAGGCTCAATCAAATAGGACAAATAAAAAATATGTACTTGTCTTTGTCTGCTAATTCAAGTTGTTCTTCTCCATTTGGTTAGCGGGCGATTGGCAGCACGGCTGATTTTCTACGGACATTAACGGGATATCTTATGATTTAGAGTCTGAGTTGGTTTTTAGTTTACCTTAACTTTAGGCGACCGAATGCTACCGTGTCGGTATAACGGCCGAGTTGAATACTTCTTCAGGAGGTTATAGCTTTCTAAGAAATATAAGGAAAATTGCCGAACCGATCCCTGCGACAAAAGCGAATTCTTATGCCTAAATAATAGTTTTGATTCTGCTCGCTATCATAATAAGTCTAAAAGTTGTTTCACTCGATTTCATTCGAAAAAGATCTAATGTTTTCATTCGATCAAAATACCTACAGGCATGATCTTTCAGCGTCGTGCGTGATCATGTAAGCACGCAGGGACCAGTATCGGCACAGTGCGTCTAAATGGTGGAAGTACGATTGCTTGTACAGCCCAAACGTTCCAGACGACTGACTTTCCGTGCTGATCAACACATACAAGTTTGCAAGTCAGCACTGGCTGGCAATTATCTTCGAACTGCAACGGGCCAGCAAAAATTTCTACAAAACAACTTTTTTTAAAAAAAGAAGACATCTCGTTGTGTTACAAAAAACCATGTTTAACAGCTTCCGGTTAACGAAACTTAGGCACGAATATCAGCCAGCGTAGGACACCCCATGCATTTGCCAACCCACCTTTTCGAGAAGTAAAGACATGTTGCACTTTGGTTTCAAGTTAAAGCTATGGTCTCGTAAGCCTTTAGCGTCAACAATATCTGCTATATGGGGAGAGTCCTTCCGATATCCAGAACGTGTGTTCATGGCCCGAAAAGAAAAAATGTGACTGCGAATGCAATTTCTGTAGCACTAGCTAATGTTTTAAGGTACTGCTGATACTGCGTGCTGTGAAAAAAGGTATTGTTTTGGGAATCTTTTCAATTGATCTTCATGAGCGTTTTTCCCGCCTCTCAAGTACCAAGTATAAACAGGCTGTTTTATTATGATCGATTCTCAAACTAAAAAAAACACGCAAGCTAAGCGTTCAAGTAACAGGTAGGAAGGGAACGTAGGATTGGATCGTCTATAGTATCTTATAGACGCTATTGGTTTTCTATATATGTGTACAATAGTGAAACAATTATGTAAATAGATGAACTATAATAGAAGAACTACCTGCGGTAATAATCGTCATACGGTGCCTGTCCATAGTAGTACCCTTGCGGGTCGTGATAATATCCGCTCGGAGATGCATATGAGCGACCTCGCATGTAGTAGTCATCATCATAATAACCTCGATAATAGCCTCCGTATGGAAGATTATTGTAGTATTCTGCTCCGCTTACTCCTCGGTTGTAATAATAGTCGGGGTGATAACTAGCGCCACCTGCGTCGCCGTTTACCGAACGTCCGTTGTTGTATCCTCGGTCTCGACTGAAATACGAGTAAAGCGATTGTCATCCAGGCAAACCATCCATCGGCTGCTAGAATGACTTAACTGATCATTAAAATACAAATGCGTGGCGAGGTGTCGAGAAAAGCGCGACTCATATAGCGCTAGAGACTTCGATAGGAGCACAGCCCATCACGCAGATGATGATGATGATGATGATGATGATGATGATGGAGAGGAGTTATACTATTTACCGACAGACTTCCTAAGTGTTTTCAAAACGATGCTACAAAGGGACAATTTAGAAAAAATTGATAATTTTTTCTAAATTGTTTCATATTCAAAGTGATGAAAAGATATCTACTGCTGATAACTGACTATTTAGAATTTTGATTGTTGCATTCTCGTTTGCGCGTTCAGTACCTGCATTAATTCTTTGTGCTCTTTAGACCACACTGAAGTGAGTTTATTTACGGGTTAAAATCAGCCCAAACATGAAATAAGTATAGAAACCAAAAAAACGTATAGACGTTTTGCTTGTTTGTACAGTCACCTCAGCATCAAGTGTCTAGGCAAAACACGCATGTGATAATAATTCTTAGTAGCGCTTCGTGTCTGAGTATTTTTATTTACAAATTACATTCTTACATATAAGAAAGTTGCGCTTTGAAATGTCATATAATTGGGCCTGTCATATCAATTGTCTTAAGGTAAAACTTGAAAAGTTGGCCGTAGAAAGCCGAAAATTCTTCAAGTATTTTAGTAAGCTTAACAACAGAGCATTTACAAAAAATAAACAAACCACCTGCTATTAATGTCTGCCACCGAAGGTGAACAAGCAAAATTATTTATATAAATGAACGATTAAAACAAATTCTATATTAACCTTAGAGCATTGTTAGTAAATAACACAAGTCGATTTGTGTAAATAAGGAAAGCTATTTTAATTTTATTCCCATCAATGTTGCAGTGCTGAATGCAGCAGTTTTGAAATTTTAATATGCCTTTTTGGGTACGTCTCTGGTTGTTGGTTGCCGTCGCTGTAAAATGGGCCAAACAAGTCCGATTGTATAGGCTGTGATTTTTATAAAAGATGATACGCACTCGTGTTCAAATTTCTGCTTGTAACTCCAGAGTACGATTCACGATCTCGTACTCCGTAAGAGTCCTCTATAAGATCATAACTTTTATAGGTCCTTTATGGAGATTGGAACTGAGATTAACAACTAAGATACGTCGCTCCTGTATTGTTGATACGATGCTTTGTTCATTGCAGCCAGATCTATCGATCAGTTAAATTTCCGGATCATATTAACGAAAATATATTATGTTTATTATTTAGTTGTCGATAGAATGAACAATTACTAATTGGGTATAGTAAGTTGTATTTTAGGGGCTTCGAACGAATGTATAGATTAGTAAAATGGGTGTATGCTGCATCAGTATTTAACCAAGTGTTCTATGGCTTCAATGAATCCTGTTGCTTTTGTATAGTTCTATCTAAAATATAAAATTTCTGTTGAAATAAATCCTTAAAATACTGACGTACATTACACGAATAATTATCATATAGGCAAACCTCTAATATATCGAGAAAGGTTTTAGATAGAAAATATTCGTCCTAATAATAAAAAAAAAAACTTCTATTATCTATTATTATAGTATATAGTCTATAGATGCTCTATAGTTTTTAGATAGTAATAGAATTTATTACTCGATTGCAATGTGTTTTTAAAAGCAAAGTTCAACTAAAACTACTATTGTTCAAAGGAAAGGGAAGCGATTTCATATGGCGGGCATTAGCAAGTTGCTTCGTTGACGGAAGCTGAGGAAATTTTTTATCTATGGCCTTTACAATGCACAATGCGACAAGTGATTAGTCAACCTATATTAATGGGTTCATCCCGATTTGCGAATTTTCGTGTAACAGGCCTGCCAGCGATAATGGTGTTCTTTAGACTAGAGAAACTGCAGAGCTCGCTGTTCCAAAAGCGGAACTTCTTCATTCCTTTCACAAACACGATTTAAGTCACAAATGCGAAATGTACGTCATCGGTTACGTGCACACACGCCAGATCAGAAAGCGACACCTACCCGTAATCGTCACGTCCGTAGCCGTAATTTCCGTAGCCAAATCCGTAATATCCACTAATGGGTAGGTTATGTGTGTAGCGATAGTAGTTGTCATAGTACTTCGGGTCGTTCCAACGCGGTGGCGGATAATAACGCTCATCTCTGAAATGATTCCATTTTAACGTTCGTAACCCAAATTGATATGATGATAGGAAACTATTTCAAATCACTGGGCCAGACTTCGGAGACACGCCCCAATCAGCTTGCTCATATGCTCGTATATTTACCAACGCGGTGAGTACCGTTACCTTTGTGTTAATGTGTAACAGCAAGTCAATACTTGTTGGAACGTGATGACTTTAATATATAGAAGAAAGCAACTACTTTGGTCTCTTACTATCGTTACTCTTCTAGATATGATCAGTGTGTAGGATATGTATTGTAAGATACATGCAGTATCTTTTCAAGACAGAACCAGAATGTTCATAGATAATACATCAAGCAGTATTATAATATAAACGTATCAAGTGCATTAGAATCTTCCTTCACAACATTTCGATAAATTTACTAGATTTGATAAAGTGTATTGTAACTTTGAATGATTATAACTTTAATCTTCAATTATTTCGGTATAATAAATACATACATTGTGTGAGAATCTGTATTTAAAGATTGCCCCCGCCACAAATGTTCAGCGTCACCTCGGTTTTGGTCGAGATTATGGCGAACTATTCATTTATAAGCTTATATGAGCAAAGACCTATTGGCGTCAAATCTGGCCAATGGCCGGGCGGGAGATTTAATGGGATTGCTTCGTCCGACCCATTCGTCTGGAAGTCCCTCATTAGGGTGTGTTATGAGAGTACGATGACAGGGTGCAAATTCTTTGTCTTGGTAGAAATGAGGTTTTTATGAAGTCCTTCCGAATACATGGTCAAACAGATTGCTACAGCAATACGTTAGTTACTGTCAAACAATAATGATCCAGTTAGGTTTCTGTTTCATATGTCGTATGTTTGCCAGTGTAACTCCGTGTAAATTTACATAGTGTTCCCGGATAACGTAGAGTTACTCAGTAGATGTAATAATATCAGTTATTTTATCTTTCCAAGCAAGTTTTAGTGAACAATTGTACATTCTGTTCGTAGGTACCATTCACAGATTCACTGCTTGATCCTAGCACAATTACTGCAAAATAGCCTTTTCATTGTCAACATCTTGTATACGATGGCCATTGATGGCATACGATACTAGAGCTTTGCTGGTGAAGCTTTCTGAATGGAATATCTATCTTTCATCCGATTAATTATAAGTTCCATGGGTGCGTCCGCCTGAAATTTTCTGCAATATCGTCTGTTTACTTTTGCTATATTTTTGTACTTCCAATAGCATTTCAAGTGGATCTTGTACAAAAATTTTCCAACTAATTACATCCCGACAGGAAAAAACAAGCAGAAAGTTATAATCCATATTGGACTGTCCATAGGTAACTGCACAAAAAGACAGGTTCAAAGTTACTTTGTCTTCTATTGTTGTCGCTCGGAAGTAGCTCTAAAGGCGTCATCTGCTTCTAAATCGACTTAGGCTTATGTGTGTACGCAACTTCATTTGAATTGACTTGACAACTTACTGGTGAAGGTGCTTCTTTTTCGGAAGCTTTACGGTAGTTCCTCATCGTCTCAGAAAAACTTAAAAGTACGATAATGGGGTGGGTGCAACATGAAATGTACATACGCGTTTCAAGATTTAAAAAACATATAGTTTGGATTGGAATTAAACATATATAGATTGGAACTCGTATCGCTGTCAAAATTTCAATGCTCATAGACTCAATCAAGATTCTTCTGACATACCGTGATTAAATAATAACATAAACTCGTACATTGTATTTTGAAAGATGATGCTGATATAAATATAATGTGCTATAGTTAATATATAATAAATAAAACAGGATTTTATAAATAATGAAATAGAATGAATGAATGAATTAAGAAATGCAATCTGAAACACTCACGTGCTTTGTATTGAAACAAAAATTGTTGCTTTCGATTAATGTATTTTATTATATAATAGTTAAAAATTAATTGTATCATATATATTATCTATACACGTCTACTTTATCTAGTGTCTATGATGTTCGATCGATTTGATAATATCAAGAGATCTTCAAGAGCCTTCGAGAGATCGAGGGCTTAGTGTCGGAATTTATTGGAAAAGGATCACAGGTGTTTCTAGTAACGCATCATCCGACCCATGGGTGAGTTGCCGGAAGACAAACACACAGGTGTCGTTTTTGAGCTATAACTTAACATAGTTCGTAATACAAGATAAATGCTTTTTTTACTGCACTGAAACTGCCCTAATAAAACAAATGGCAAACCGTGAACCAGGGATAGTTCGCTATATATTAATAAAGAGCTTTGTTTAAATAGCATTTGCCATCGGAGGAAAGATCATATAATAGGATATTAAGCTTCAAATCAATAAGTTCTCTGACTTTCTACAAGTATTCTCCGTCTAAGGAAGATGGCCCATTTCAACAGCTAAAAAGATGCAATATTGTCAAAATTTAGTAACGTTTTCAAGCACATACGATTAGTTTCTACTTGAAACACATTCACATTTGAGTATGTCGCGTGCGCTACTAAATCTCTCAAGAGACAATATGTTGAAGCTAAGTAGTTTCAACTTTAGCGGAAATAGTTTATCGTCACTGTTGAAATCGTTGCTTTTTCGTCTCCTGCTGTTATTGTTTCAAATGAAATGATGGTTTAGACCAAGCATACACATCTGATCTGTTATTTATTTATTGATAATTAACACGATATATTAGGCTTTTGTAGCCGTTATTCAGAAAAAGTGTTCAAATTTTATTTAATCTAAAGATTAAGTGCATCCAGCAAAAAGACACACACAGTCAGAATTCTTCAAGGACTGGCTGAATGATTGAAATTTAACTTTTGAATAATCATAAGCAAAACTCATGGCCGTACGAGAAACCATCTTGCCCATACCAAGGCTGCAAAAAATACGATCGATTAGTAGTCCGGCCCAATGTCCGGGTACGATTATGTTTGCAACCGGCTTCACAAACGTGAACTGAAGTCCTGTTGCAAACAACTTTAGACAGCTAAATCTAGACACGACCTATGTTTGTTGGTTAGTTATTTAGCAGGTTGAACGAGCGTAGACTGCTCTCTAATATTTGCCTCTTTCGTACATAGTTATATAGTATATCGACGAAAACCTTCACAATTCTCACCCGGAGAACCTTACACAAGTTATCGATAATAATGTAACCAATATGTCTTACGACATTGCTACCGATGGTATACACGTAAATATTTTCAAGGTTAGTCGTCAACTTGCTTAGGTACTAGTATACCTGTAATACTGTTGAATGGAGAAGTCCGGTAAGTGCGCGAGCAAAATTACGACGAGAATGAAACTTAGCCGCATTGCTGACATTTGTTCTCGGCAGCCTAAAGGAGCGTACTATACGCAGCTCTGTTACGCCGTCCTTTTCGAATTTCTCTGCACAAAAATCGACTTGTTCTTTCAACTTCTAAGATAAATCCAAATGGATTGTTTTCAATCTAAGGCTGACATATTTCCCCGCAAACGCCTTCTAGACTGTTCCCGATTTTTGGTCACCGCATAAACTTCACAGCGTTTTTTCTTTACTACTTTCTGGTAAGTTGAACATTGTCTAGTGTAATGGTATCCGTAGAGACTGTTCCCCTTAGCACAACACGCTGCAATGCCTTATCACTGGATTGAGGCACGTCTGCGTGCCTCTATGTATCTTCACAGGCATCAGTCGCACTTGGCCGCGTCTTTATGACTGGCCAAGCCAAGGTCGTTGCGTGTGAGCAGAGCTTCGTGCAGCGTCCCTGGTGGCGAAGACCGGAAAACGCTGTGTTGCATAAACTGAGATTTCTGTTGGACGCCATGGAACCGCTGGACGTTTAAGCTAACCGCACATCATTATCACAATTGCAACTGGGACTGTTACACCAATGAAAAATACCTTTTTTAATCTGAGCTATTTTAACTGTGCAGTTATTCAGACCCTGTTGTTACCCGGACGTCGTGCCCTTGTGTCGATCTCATTGACAGAGTGGTAGAAAAAATCGATTTATCATTGTGGCTTTCGAGGCGACACAAGAATACCGAACAGGCAACATCTCTATAAAAGACCCTTCTCAATTTGGTAGTAAAAAATATTGTTGGTCCTTTGCGAGACTGTTTCGTTTGCGTCGCACGAGCACATGGCTTGGATTTATCATGGAACCGAATTATACGTTTCCATGATAACAGGCGAACTCGATACTTGATGATAAGACACACTTGATTTCTCGATGCCGTACGTTCAGTAAGGGTTTCTGTAGCCAGGCTAGCTGCTTTAGCTAGCAATTTACTCCTGCAAATAGCTACGAAGAGACCCCCCGTAAGCACGAATAAACGAAATACAATAAACTAGAAATACATAATCATACCTTAATGTAGGACTCGCTGTAAAAAGCGAACGAGCGAGTCAAAGCCTAGAAATTAATTCCATCGTCCATGTAGGCCACAGAACAGTAAAAATAAAGATCATGATAGTACTACTACTGTGATTAATAATAATAAATACGTAGTCTTCTTGTAGGGAAGTTCATGTCTTTAGATCATATCATAACAATCTATTTTTCTCATGTGTATGGTAATAACTGTTTGTGTTGATGTTGATAATCTTCAGAAGTCATTCATAGAACGATGTGGAACGCCTACGTTCAAGTTTTTCCATCGTTCGGACTTTTTCAAGTAAAGCAAACTCGTCGTTTTCTCCTGAAAAAAAGATTCTCACGCTGAAAATCTATAGTTAAATGACATGCTGCAAAAAACAACAATAGACGTCAATAAACCAAATCAAGATAGCGAATTATTTCTAGTAAAGTGAATAAATAATATATTATAGATAATAACAGAAGTCATCCCGCTTCACCACGTTCCAATCAACGTGGGTTAAATGCTGCCTGACACTGTTTTTTTTTTTTAAATATTCTTTCGCCCAGTCAGCAAGATCCGCAAAAGTATTTCCAGTTCCCTCGAAAATCAGTGACGTATCTTACGAACGAGAACTTCGTCAGACACAGTTCAGAAATGTTGATGGTCATTGGTGTGAATCTAATGAACTCTCTGTCACAATGCTGCGACTCTTCAACTTACCGGCAGAAGTCTCTGCAGGTTTAAATTGTGAAACGGAAAGCCATTACCTTAAACGTTCTTTCAGCATCATGAAATAAATTAATAAACTGTTCTCAGCCTCTATGCAATATCGAGCGTAGTATTGTGTATTGATTGAGGTAAACGACTTGTTTTGTTTGTGTTCTGACATTTAAGGACCTAACTGTTCACCACACTCTCACGAACAGCGAAAATTGAAGCAAGGTGTGATTATCCTAGCTCGCAGCGAATGCCTATTTAGATTTTTTTACGATCTGGAAATTGTAAAACTCTGATCATAGAGTTAACAAAGCTTTGCTAAGATACCTATCCACTGCTCGGTGTATACGTGGTAAATTTCATAAAGGGCATTTGTTACCAGATCGTCAAGATATTAAAAATATTTTTTACGTAGGCGAGCCTGCTTGCCGTGCTTACCTGTTGCCAGCCCGTTAACTAATTACTGCTCGGCAATGGTTTTGAACACGCAGGAAACAAATGCGTGATTAAATCTCTCCTCAGAGCTTAAAATAACGGTCACTGAAGAAAGTAAACTATTTATTCTATATACTACCTAGCCCTCCAATTTAGGGTAACAAAACGTACGTTAAGAATACGTTAAGATCTATACGTCACTGATGCAAGTAGTACTGCGATGATAATCTATTTTTCGAAATGTCTTCATAGGTGAACATGATATTATGAAGCATAATTGACCAGAGGTATATAGTGAATGATGTCAAAAGCGCTTGTTGAAGTAAACCTAAGACTGCTGCTGGTATTACTATTCGTATATTTATTTCGAAATTCTGCTGAGGTTGGCGTTAGATCGCTAAAAATGCAAGCACGTTCCAGTGGAAAGTACTACATTTTTTTTGGAAGAACCGCTATTAGAGAAAGATCCCTTACATGGCAGACAGTGGGTAAGGGCATTTCTCCGTTGGCAAGCAATAACCGGTAATAAAGCTATTCCCTGAGTATGTTTCAGCCTACCTCATACTGTTAGCTAGACGGTTAACACCAGGCCGATGATTGTAGTGATGACTCTGCTGCTTTTAATCAAACGCTAGCTGCAGGAGAACGGTAAAGACACACAGTTTGTCTTTATCGTTTCCTTGACGCATCCTGCATGATGCGTGGCATATTCGCTCATACGAGCTGCGCTTTGTGAGGGATGTTAGACACTACATTTGTTCATTATATCATTTCTTCTACGTTCTTGATCACCGATAGATTATCTCAAGATAACTTCGGCGACACCACCCTATTGATCACATCGATATAAAGGCAACACATCGCCCGTTATCAAGATATAAGATCTGCTCAAAAAGAAATGTTTCTTATACGTATTATGTAGGCATGAGAATATTTACAGTGAAATGTTTTGCGTGACAGCTATCGTCGCTTGTGACTGCATAATACCGTTCGTTGTTTTTATCATAAAATGCTTTTTATTTAATTGAAATAAGTAAGATTCGTCCCCCGCAGCCCCACACGTACAGTGCAGCCAATAGTGGGAAACGTCTTGTTTGTTTAATCTATTCTAGCTAAAGGAAATAGAGAGACTTTGTATCGCTCCTCAATTATATGAATTAACACAGACGATTCTGAAAAGAAAACTACTAATTCTATTAAGTTGTCTTAGATGGCTTTCAAAGTTACATACTCAGGTTAATATGGGGCGTGTCGGATCATTTGAAAGTTGAGATTCCACAATGGTAGACGTGCTAGAATTACAGAATGCCTTTATTTAGATCTAAAGATAGACAGAGCGCCTTGAAGAGTAAATATATTGTCGTAAGAGTTCACTATATCTTATAGGGCCCCTAAAAAGATGCACGTTGTTTGTGGCCTGTCGCTTTGCCTTTGGAAATTCTGATGTAAAAGATACTTTTCGTAATGTTAAGGAAACGGCTAATAAACTTAATGCCAAGTGGGGCACAACGACCGCACTCGAAGAACCACGATATTGTCAAGGAAATAAGCCATTTGAAGGCAGCTGGCTACGTGGTAACGTACGTGGTAACGATTATTTTTCGTAGCCAGCCGTAAAAGCAAGGGATCGATTTGATCGCGGTTCTTTCTGCCAAACTATGCAGAGGTATAACAAACTATCTCTAACGCTGGTTGATTGCAGGCGATAAAAGGTCGACCATATACCACAAATGTGTACGTAAAATAAAAAAAAGTGTGATTTAAAATCTGAGCCCAGATTGATAGATACTAAAAAAAGTGTTCGATCGAATGAGAAAGAGATCTTGCATTGTGAGATAGATGCTGCTGCCTGGCAAAACCATCGATTGGCATTTCTACTACCAACGACTAACAAGCCCTTCATTAAAATCAACCGTAACCAATGCATCGTCATTTACCGTGACAACTTTAGGTCACATGCATATTTAGCTATTCGGAAAAAATCGAAGAACTTTGATGGGCTAGATTTTAGCGCATCCGCCGTATAGCCCAAATCTTCCATCATCAGACTCTCTCTCTCTCTCTCTCTCTCTCTCTCTCCTGGTTTCTGCAGAGCTCCCCTTATGGTGTTTGGTTAGTTTTAATGGAAGGTTGCCAGGAACCACAGATGTTCCACAATGACGGACTTACGCCGCTATTAGAAGACAGACAGAAGGTCATCAATGAAAATATTTAGTAATATCTGAAAACAAAAAAAAAAAATCCATTTGCTTAAACTTTAGTTTAAAACGGTCAATATTGTATTGACCTATTAATCATTTGTATAATAACCATTTTCCGCGAAGAATAACAATCTCTTGTATTTTCCTTATGAATTAACAGATTTTAGAATAGCGTTCACGTTCTTAGCTTGGGTGTAAGATCGTTATCACGAAACAATATGCCGCTATTAATGTAACAATTTCGAAACGCTTGCTTAAAATGAGCATTCCGTGCCAACAATAATTAGTACTAGAAAATTCTCAACGGCAGGTTATTCAATCTCGAGCTAAATTTTCTGTATGTAACATTACCAATACCCCATAAGTACCAGAAACGGAATTCGTTCATGTTATTTCATTAGTTCTTTGTTTATTATCAAAATCGGTAATATTTTGAACGTTCAATATTTCCCATATTCTCCTTTTTGCACGCACTCCACCCCTAGAGATTAGCCTAACCTCTTGAACAAGACCTCTCTGTACGCTACATGAGACGGAAAAATAGCTGGGCCAAACTGACGCTTTTGATAAAGCGTTTGCGCTTTCGGTATACTGCCCGCTCTTTTTTTTTTTTTAGCTCGAATACCTCTTTTATTACGTAGTAGGCCAGTCTTATGTCTATATAACAGATGGAACACTAAGATTAATATGTATTACATAGGCTTGGTTCTGATATGCATATATTGGTAGCGTTATCTGTATTCTTTTGTAGCATAAATCACATGGACGAATCGTTTGCCCCCAAACAGTGATGTTGGGTATAATACACAGATTTTACTAATCAATCTAGTCCGTGAAACATAGGCCATGTCCTACTATAACTAGAGTAGGTAGATAAAGGCTGGCTTTCTCACTGCGTCCTTAAAGCGGTTACATGGTTTCACTAGCCCTTGTCTTTTTGGA